TGAGTGAAGAAGAGGGAAGAAGAAGGAATGAAAATTTTTGGTTCAAGTTCACCGCATTTTTTGCTTATATAAGCATTTCTAAATACAGCCCATCACTCAGAAATTCACATATATTCCAGAGTGATGCCGCTGTCTCCCCCTACCTACTGTGCCCAGAGGCATGATTCCATGTCAATACTGATGTTCCTGAACTCATGGACCAGTAGAAACAACGGTTTGATATGTCAAAGTCATGTTGTTGCAAAGTTGCTCACCTATGGGACCGCTTTTGCTTATGTAAGCAGTGTCACCCCTGTGATGCTGCCTCACCCAATGATGATTTTTGAGCTTTCATATGACTTGCTTGGCTTCAATAGAACTTGTTTCTGGGGTTATTTGGCCATCTGAATCTGATGGGAACACTGGTTGGTCCGAAAAAATCATATTTCAGAGTGATTGCTACCCCCTCCCCCTCCCCCTACCTACTGTGCCCAGAGGCAGGATTCCATGTCGATACTGATGTATAAAAGGATGTTTCTGGTGTTTTTGGATCATATTAATTGATTGGAGATGGTCTCAGAGTCATCTGGGCTCATGTGATTGTGATGTGTCAGTTGACCTGATACCCCCCCCCACAAAGATCGATTTTTTCAGGCTTCCCATGACTTGCCAGTACTCCAAACTATTCTTCCTGGGGGTTCTTCATCCATCTGAACACGATGGTCGAGCCAGATTTCCCAGAAAAAAATCCTGTTCTTGAGATATGCAGGGCCCCCCTCCCCCCTCCTAACTCATATATCTTGATATTATGTAAATACCGATATATCAAAAGATGTTTCTAGTGTTTTATGATCACAGAAATCGATTGGAGATGGTCCTGGAGTATTCCCGGCTTGTCTGAATTGAAATATGTCAGTTTGCCTCATGCCCCCCCCACAAAGATCGATTTTTACAGACATCCCATGACTTGCTGGTGCTCCAACAGCATTTTCTCCCGAGGGCTATTGATCATTCTGAACACGATGGTCGAGCCAGATTTCCCAGAAAAAATCAGGTTCTGGAGATATGCAGGGCCCCCCTCCCCCCTCCTAACGCATATATCTGGATATCATGTAAATACCGATATATCAAAGGGTGATCCTAGTGTTTTATGATCACTGAAATCCATTGGAGATGGTTTCAGAGTATTTCTAGCCTGTGTGAAATAAAATAGGTCAGTTTGCCTCATACCCCCCACAAAGATCGATTTTTACAGCATTCCCATGACTTGCCAGTGGTCCAAAAGCATTTTTCCTGGGGGCTCTTGAGCCCTCTGAACACGATGGTCGAGCCAGAATTCCTAGAAAAAATCGCGTTCTTGAGATATACAAGGTCCTCCTCCCCCCTCCTACCCCCTATATTTTGCTGTACTTGATTTTAACTCAAAACCGATACTGTAAAGGACTGTCCTAGGGTTTTTCAGGTGTAGGAATCGATTGGTGATGGTCCTGGACCATCTGGAGGTCGATATTGGTGACATATGGTGGTGGGGCCAAAAGGGCAGTATTTTGAGCATATCTCCATAACCCAACCGCCGATTTCTCTAATTCTTGGCTCATATCATTCCTAGACGTACCCTCCATGATATGTACCAGCCCACAAAAAGAAATAGTTTCACAAGTTTGAAACCTATTTCAGTTTTGACCATATAAATTCCTCGCTGTAGTATTTGACTTCCAGAGGCGCAGGGCACATGTCCTTGGCTGCCAGATATCAGACGATGAAATGAATGGGGATGGAGAAGATCCACACGACTGGCAGTCATGGAATGGGCCAGAGTACTGGGATAGAGCTGCGACGCTGCATGGGTGGGATTCAGGAGATCTTGACGACATTCGGGTATCGTCCTATGATTGGAGGCAAAGTGGAATAGACTGCAGCGCCTCTGCATGCTCGGTGATGGAACAGACTATGATCCATGGACTTGAAGAGGATGGAACCTTACCAGTGGATGTGTCGGAAATTCCATGTGGCCACATATTGCGCATCAGAATCTTGCGTGTAGTCGCAGGACAAATCAAGAACAGCTACAACGACTACATGATGCTCCGGGAGAGTCCACCATCGTGTTGGCAAGATGATTTACCACCAGAAGAGGAGGACTTGGATGCAGTGCGCACAGGGAAGTATCATGCGGAATGTAGCTCGATGCTCCGCACACTTGCTGTTGTCAGTGCGACATGCATGACATGCAAACGACCTCCGGTGCTAAATAAAAATCCTACTGTTCATTTACCCATCCATAGGGATCCTGATATCGGCACAGAAGATAACGACGTAGAGGAGATGGATGCCCATGATGGGGAGGACTTGGAGCTTGGTACAACACTGCCTCGGGATAGGAAGGCGAGGCTTTCCAAGATATTGAAAGTCACCAAGGAGCTTTCTATGGCACGCGATCGTAACAGCACAGTGCCACGTGCATTGGGGACCCATATTCCACTAGAGCCAGAGCAGTCTGCTGAGGCATGTGGACAAGACGATTCTCAGCGGTCATCTGCTGCAAAAGCGTCTCGAAAACGTGTCTCCAACTGGAATCTTGGCAGTATTAAACGATTTCCTCGTCCTACTGCACCACCCACCATGGCCGCATACACAGGCAGGCGATGGCTTCCAGATAATCGAAACTTTGATGATTATGAAGGCGGACCAACAATAGAGATGCTGAGACCCCCTAGCGACGTCCATCCTACCATGATATATCATTCGGCACAAATGGAACTTTCTGCAGCCTGGGCGACCTGGGTCGACCATGGGTACAGGATCAAGCCAAGCACATTTCAAATGTTCTACCAGTGCCAACCTATCGCCACAATGGAACACATCATGCCTATTGGCACATCGGATTCATACGACGCATCAATCCAGGTGCCTGACCGAGTGACAGGTGCATATTCCCTAGACAGGACAGGGGCTCGCGAGGGTAGCGGTGGTGTAAGAATCGGTGATGTCGTCATATTGTCTGCTTCAGATATGATCGGATCAGCTGAGCAGTATGATCCACCTCTGCAGGAAGAATGCAGATATGGACATGATCTGTTTGTGCGTGGGTGTACAAGTGGGTCGGATGGCGATGAAAGGCCGATATATGTGGATCTTGAGCTGGATGCAATTAGATTCGATGAAGACGATATATCGATCTCAGTGGATATCGACAGCATTATCTGGACGACGAAGACATTGAGATTGCGTGGGACCATTGGAGTCTATATGACACCTCCATTTCATTCCAAGCCAGGGATCTCGAAGCACAATCACGCGTATCTGGACCTCCTCATTCCGCAGTCAGAAGAGGATGCACATGAACCAGGAGGCAGGGCGGAATGGCTGTCTCTACGAGTTAAAATGGATTCCATCCCGCATCTATGCATTGGGCGCATCTCATCTGCAGCTTCCACCCTTAATGTATATATATTCTTCCCCCGCCTCAAACACGATGACGCCATCAGCGGCAAAAAAGTGACTATAATACCCAATGAAGTCGAAGACATCTTCTGGGACCGAGTGTTGCTGCCATCCATTGGTGATTGCGCCGACGTTAGCTGGCAGGCATACATGAAACAATCGCTCCAGGAGGCGAGATACAAGAATAAGGGTGGATCTGGAACGACGGGCGGAAAGGGGACTCCCAAGATAATTCCATTGTCAAACGATGACTTTCTGGAGGTGCAGGCACGAATGCATGATCGAATAAAGGACGGACACATGGAGCTGAGCATGTTTGGGTCGTGCTTCTTCGTGCTGGAGGGGAAGGGGATCAAGCTTATAACCAAGGATGGCCAGAGGGGGAGATTTAAGGGACCTGAAGACGCCCTGCTTCACAACCTACCTGACCTGGATTGGCACCACATGATGGACAGGACACATGGAGAATTACTGCTCGATGTTGGGGTGTCGTTTACACCACGCTCATCAGATGTTCCTGTGGTCGGGCTTTGGAGATTGGATGCATTGGAGGCTTCCTTCGGAGCAGGGGGGTATAATAAAGGGCAGCTGCATCACCACAACACACTCTCACGATATGGTGCGCTACAGGCCGAGATGCAGCGGGAGAGATGTCAGCAGACCCATGTGGCATTCCGGAGCGCATACAACCTGTACTATGAAGCAGTCAGAACCACCAACAACCAGGTCACCTTCGCAATGGATAGCGACGCCTACAAGGCATCATCAAATTACATGACCGAATGCTTCAATATCGAAAGAGTGTTGACTGGTTCCAAAGGCAAAACCTATGGCGTGCGAGATGAATACAGGACCAGTGGGAAGGCCGCCAGACTCATTCTTGGTAGTGTAATATCGACGGTAAGTGATCCTCACTCGAGTGTAATGGTTCAATGTCAATGATTATGATTCAGGCAGAAGAGTATCTGAGATCTGACCCAGTGCTATGGATCCCATCTGAGGTGTGGTTTGGATTCCTGGCGAGACGTGTGCGTGAGATTCAAAGGACTCAGATCGCCATAGTGAGGAAACATCCTCCAAACCTCGGCGTCCTCACAAGCATCCTCAATTATATGCTCCGTTCCACAACCTCCACCCCAATTGTTTTTGACTCGCATCTACGCGAATCTCTGGCCCTTTTGGAATATAGAAATGTCCTAGAGACTGCAGGAATGTTCTTCCTGCAGGAATTCGACCTCGCCAGCGATACCTGCCTGTATGATGTCCAGCAGCAGGATGACATCACGGTGCTTGCTCTCATGGGCGCAAACACGAAGGTGCAGAGAGCTAGAACAGCAGCGAGGCTAGAGATATCCAGAGCTGATGCAGAACGTGAATCCGAGGAGTTTCCCCTTGGTCGGAGGCCTTCATGGGTTCGACTGAAATCAGCCATAGCCAGCTCTCCAGCAAGCATTATGAAGCCTTGGGTGTGGCCTTCCAGACTATCACACGTGCAACTGTCTGTGGGACGACTATTTGTCATGTGCACCAGGCACCTGTGGCTCATGCTCAGAGATGACATCTTCCAGGGAGTTAGGCCATGCCCGGAATCACTGCAGGAAGCCATGAAATGTTGGACGATAACAAGCATCACTGACACCCTGACTGCTGTGACCTTCGAAGCCTGTAATGTCGGACTCCAGGACCATTCTGGTGTGACCCCTGGACGCATGGGCCCAAGGTCAAAATCATTCGCAAACCGATTGTCCACCTTCTTTCCCAATCCTAAATCGCTCAAGAAGGCATCCTCTCAGTGGTCTTCATTGTGGACTGGAGAAGGATACATTGCAGAGTTTCACAGATTATTAACAAGAATGGACGAGGATGAGAGAGCGTTCTTGCAGGATGGACTTGCAGATATATTTTCAAACATTCACTGTCTTCCTGCAAGCACTGCTGCGGCTGTATGGAGAGTCAAACAATCAGCCATTGTCTTCATCACTAACCCGGCATTCTACAAGATTGAATGCTTAGGGAGAGCTGGTGAAAGTCGGAGAGGACCTATCGCACGCCGCCCGGTCAATATAATCAAGGGAAAACGCATTTTTACAGCAGACCTAATGGATGTCACACCCTTTGATGCTCTAGGAGCTCTCAGAAAGCGGTCTGACAGGCAGAAACGCAGGGACCTTCACAAAATACTAACCAAGGCAAACAAGCACAAGAGGGTCCCTCCTCCCCCACGTCCCTCCGGACGGAGCAGACCATTTCCTCTGTCTAGGCTCCACGATTCTGAATAGATGTAGACACGTAGTACTTGATTTTTGAAAGTGAAGCATCATACAGCACACTCGAGCATTCATACACACTGTAATTAACTGTATAGCCAATATTTACTATGATGTTACCTGATCTTACGTTGGTCGCTCTCAGGACATTGGAACACAAAGAGAAAGAGAGGAGGAGGATGTCTTATTGGACCAGGTAGGGCACCGTCAAATGTCTGTTTCATCACCAGACACATGCATGCATCCATTATTGATGTAGTCCAAGTTATTAATCATGGAAAATGAATGTTCAAGAACATTGAATCCACTGGTCAGTAAAAGCAACATTTGTGAGTTATTTCATAGCATCCTCTAGTTATAGCTTCTTCCACTCATCAAATAGCTTCCGGGGTATAATTTCATGACTTTACCACATACCCATTCATACTGTCACTCATTCAGTTTCTCGTACCCTCTTTCTCTTTCCTACTACCCTACCCTGTAAGGCTCAATGTCACTTCCTTCTGCCTTCATTTTCACTACCTTTGCCATTCTCACATTTCACCTGTTATTGGTGGGAACAGTGATGAACAAGACAAGTGGATTCAAGGTCTGAGATCACCACTTTCACCTTTCTCCCATCTCACCTTCTGTTAGTGGGAACCCTAATGATATGTCTGGCCAAGAAATAGAGTGAGAAATAAAAGGTGAGAAGAGGAGGTCGCTCTATTTCATAGACATGTCATCACTGTTCCTACTAACGGAAGGTGAGATGTGAGAAAGGTGAAGGTGACATACTGTGGAGCATGAAAAATAGTATCTCTGATGGTGGACAGTCATCACATTTCTCTAGAATTGATGATACTGGAATTCCTGCCGTGAAACAATGATGCTATCAATTGGCTATTGGTAGTCAATCACAGACCACAAATATTCACAGGAGGCCCACCTGAATATGTGATCCATATAAGTAGATCTCAGACTTCAGACATCTAGTGATCTTATTGGACCAGGTAGGACATTGTCAAATGTCCATTCCATCACCAGACACGTGCATCCATCTATTATTGATGTCATCCAAGTCATCAATCATGATCTGAATGTGCAATCCAGGTTACTTGACAGTCTGAATGCCCTGACGATACCAGGTGTGTGAGCCTGTAGGCACAACTCCCTACATCACATCTATTATTCTTGGCTTGCATATACTGGCAGTCACTATAGTTTTTAACTTGTTCAATAAATAGACAAACTTATCTATGTGTCATAGCCAGTGGCTCATCTACTTACATAGGGTGCGAGGACAGAATTTTATGCTGGTTTCAGACATCTTTCTTGAAGTTTGAGTCACCCAGGTGTATAGAGAATCCAGTGACAAACATACAAGTATGATGGTCATTCTACCTCGAACACTTCAAGAAGCGAAATTTGTTGTTCATATCGGTGATAATATTAGACTCATGCAGGGTGACATCAACGGAAAACCATCCCAGAAGTGAAAATTATTATTAGTACTGTCAGCAATGGCTTGATCTTCGTAGAGGGTGACAACAACAACACAGGCCCTCAAAAGCGAAAATTTATTAGTCACATTAGGTGCTATTAACAGGGATTTGACTATCATACAGGGCGACACGAAGAATAAATGCACAAAGTCAAAAATGCCGTCAGAAGCAACATTTGTTAGTACTGACAGTAGTTTGACTCTCACAAAGGGTCACACTAACCAAGATTCCCCCGGATCTGAAACAGTTGGTGCCATCAACAATGGCTCGACCCTCACAAAGGGTTACACCAACCACAAAAGCCCCCGGAATCAAAACAGTTGGTGCCATAAACAATGACTCGACCCTCACAAAGGGTTGCACCAACCATAAAGCCCCCACAAGGGAAAGGGGTGGTGTCATAAACAACGACTAGACCCTCACAAAGGGTTGCACCAGCCATAAAGCCCCCAGAATCAAAACAGTTGGTGTCATAAAAAATGACTTGGCCCTCACAAAGGGTTGCACCAACCATAAAAGCCCCCAGAAGGGAAAAAGGTGGTGTCATAAACAATGACTAGACCCTCACAAAGGGTTGCACCAGCCATAAAGCCCCCAGAATCAAAATGGTTGGTGCCATAAACAATGACTAGACCCTCACAAAGGGTTGCACCAACCATAGAATCAAAACAGTTGGTGTCATAAACAATGACTCGACCCTCACAAAGGGTTGCACCAGCCATAAAAGCCCCCAGAAGCGAAAAAAGGTGGTGCCATCAACAATGGTTTGACCCTCACAAAGGGTAACACCAACCACAAAAGGCCCCAGAACTACAAAGACAAAATATGTACAGTTTACAAAGGGACAGCAATTAAATACATGAGTGAGGGAGGGAGAAGCAAGAAAGAGAATTTTTTGGTTCAAGTTGACCGCATTTTTGCTTATATAATCATTGTCACATCAGGCCACAATAATAAAGCCACATCTTATCATAAGAAATATTCGATGAAACAGCACATTTTTGTGCATATGATCAGCGTCAATCAAACGAAAGCTATATATTGTAATTGGAAGATGCTTGTTGAAATTTTGCAAGTTGGCTTATTAGAAGCAAATAACCAACATTGATATGCTGCCTCCCTCTCTAAGATTGATTTTCCAGCCATCATATGACATGTATGACTGTATCTTGAACTTGTTCCTGAGGTTATTGAACCATCTAAATCGAGTGGGCATGCCCATTTCATGTGTAAAAATCATGTTTCAAATTTGAACACCCCTGTCATGCTGCCTTACCCTCTAAGATCGATTTTTTCAGCCTTCACATGACTTGCCTGGCTCAAGATAGGACTTGTTCTAGAAGTTATTGAGCCTCCTGAATCTGATAGCAGCATTTGTTTGGTGCGAAAAAATCATGTTCCAAAGTCATGAGTTATCAAGTCCTGTTGTGCTGAGGCCCTCACCCAAAGTCAATTTTGTCAGCCTTTGCATGACTTGCATAGCTTGATCTCAGGCTTATTTCTGAAGCCATAGACCAGTAGGAGCAACAATTTGATATGGCAAAGTCATGTTGTTGCAAAGTTGCCCACCTATGGTCAAGTTGACCGCTTTTGCTTATGTAAGCAATGTCACCCCTGTTATGCTGCCTCACCCAATGATTGATTTTTTGAGCTTTCATATGACTTGCTTGGCTTCAAATAGAACTTGTTTCTGGGGTTATTTGGCCGTCTGAATCTGATGGGAACACTGGTTTGGTCCGAAAAAATCATATTTCAGAGTGATGCTACCCCCTCCCCCTACCTACTACCTACTGTGCCCAGAGGCAGGATTCCATGTCGATACTGATGTATAAAAGGATGTTCCTAGTGTTTTTGTATCATATTAAGTGATTGGAGATGGTCTCAGAGTCATCCGGGCCCATGTGAATTGTGATGTGTCAGTTTGCCTGATGCCCCCCCCACAAAGATCGATTTTTCTAGGCTTCCCATGACTTGTCAGTCCTTCAGGAGCATCCTTCCTGGGGGTTATTGAACCCTCTGAACATGATGGTCAAGCCAGATTTGCCAGAAAAAATCATGTTCTTGAGATATGCAAGGTCCCCCTCCCCCTCCTATCTCATATATCTTCATATTATGTGAATACTGATATATCAAAGGATGTTCCTAGTGTTTTATGATCACAGGAATCGATTGGAGATGGTCCCAGATTATTTCTAGCCTGTTTGAATTGAAATATGTCAGTTTGCCTCATACCCCCCACAAAGATCGATTTTTACAGACTTCCCATGACTTGCCAGTGCTACAAAAGCATTTTTCCTGGGGGTTCTTGATCCACCTGAACACGATGGTCGAGCCAGATTTCCCAGAAAAAATCGCGTTCTTGAGATATACAAGGTCCTCCTCCCCCCTCCTACCTCCTATATTTTGCTGTGCTTGAATTTAACTTAAGACCGATACTGTAAAGGCCTGTCCTAGTGTTTTTTAGGTGTAGGAATCGATTGGTGATGATCCTGGACCACCTGGAGATCAATATTGGTGACATATGGTGGTGGGGCCAAAATGTCAGTATTTTGGCCATATCTCCACAACCCAACCGCCGATTTCTTTAATTGTTGGCTCATATCATTCCTAGAAGTACCCTCCATGATATGTACCAGCCCATGAAAAGAAATTTTTTCACAAGTTTGAAACCTATTTCTGAAATGACCATATAAATTAGATGTCACATCTTGTAATACGCCGTGCGTCTGTGTGAGTGACTCAGTGCTTTGACCACCATCAGCATCGACCTGCGGTCCAACACACCACATGTGAGTCTTTGCACTTTCGCTACTTACGAACGACTTTGACCTGTTGTTTTTTGACTAGATGAATACTGTTAGTCGTTCTAACCTATCTGCCGCATTCTCGGCTCACGTACTGCAAGACATGGAATGCTCGTCTCGATTTGAAGAAAGCTGAGAAGAGGCAGCGCATTAATTGACTTAACTATAGATTGTTTTTCATTGATATTGACTATGCTCCGAGTCGTTCCTACATTATCACTCAATTTAGTTCGTGATGTGGTTGGATTCATACTACACTATATACTGATACTACACATTGAAGGACTGCCCTCGAATGAAAGTTGATCTGCGAACACACGCGCGCCCGATATCTGCCTATCCCTGCATCCTCTGATTGGTCTTGTCATCAACACTGGACTCATCCAGCCAGACAAGTATTCAGCCGGTATATCCCATATGCGGCTTGCCAAGTTACCCGCAAGAGCTCATTCCTCTCCGCAGCCGTTTTTGGAAATGTCTTTGTGGGTCATTCCCAGCCTTCGAGTGGCGCGTGAAAGGGTAGCGAGAGAAATGTCTTTGTTCCGAGCAGTGAGAAGTTGTTCTTATAGTTCATCCAAGTACATGGCAGGGTTTGCCTGGAGTAGTGCATGGATGTATTCGGTGTCGACGGTGTCAAGAACGCGGGGACGACCCCTGCGGCGTGCAAAGGGGTTGGTGACTTGACCATAGTCTCGGTGCAAGCGAAGAATATTGTATACTGTCTTCTCTGAGCATTGAGCAAGCTGAGATATTTCAAGAGCTGTCCTGTGCTGTTCAAACCGCCAGAATACGATATTCTGGCGCATTTCCTGACTAGTGAATGACCCTGGCATAACGAACTGACTGAGGTTTCGTTTCATCAAGCGGCAGTGGCTAGAGTGACATGTCACATCCCTTGACCTAGTTAAGGTATACAAGTGCCGGTAAAGGTAGCGAGGCCGAGTTTTGAAAAACACGCACTGCAATCTCATATGCAACACACTGTATGTCGAATTCGATTTTTTGATTGGGTTAAGGTTTTGCGAGAATCCTGAAAACTTTCACAGGTACAGATGTATCGCTACTAAGGTCCCATGCATATATAGCATCGTGTCGAGGAAACGCGGCATACAAAATATGCGATTTTGTCGGGTTAAACTTCAGCTGTGAGGAATGAGATAAGCGTTACTACTAATTCTCTAGGCGACATGCCTGCATGACTCCAGAATGAGTATATACGCTTTGATAGGTGAAAAAGCCAAATCATGCGCAACACGACTGACCTTGAATGTCTGGACTTCAGGATGTCAACTACATCTGAGATTGTAGATGACTCGAGCTGTCGGAGTCGGACAACAACGATGCTTACAAATTAAACAGCTGAAATGCCCTGTTTTCGCACTGAATGAGGAAGCCGGATCCATCGGCACACCTTCAGTGTTTTGATATTTGAGCGTTGCTCAAAGTGGTTGACTGAAAAGTGTACCACCTAGCGCAACGAGCGAAATTGTCTGCAAAATCAGGATCCACGTCCAGATTGTTCGTTAGGACAAGATCTGGAGGGTAGGATACGTCAAGCTGAACAGGCATCCCACTCCATCTTGGCATTTGCTGAGCCGCAAACTAGTAAGTAGCCGTCATGAGGTTTGCCTTGTCCAAGGCTTGGCCTAAGTTTTACATAATCGCGAACATTTCGCCTCCAACTTGACTCCAGTCTGCAGAGTTCAAGGACCAACTGGCAGCACGTATTATATTCAAATATTAATGTCGACCTTCGAGCCTGGAGGACATGCACACTTTTCTCCACCTTTGAGCAAAGAGTACATAGAGCTCGAAGACAGTCATTCGGACTTCTACTCGTGTAGGACTTGGACTACTACACGTCTTGATTCTTGTCTTCAAATCAATGGCTCAAGCAATTGGACGACCTTCAAGTCGCTTCATAAATATAGTCCATGCTATCACGGACGTCACAAAGTATCAACCAGTGCTATACTGGGCGAAGACTGAAGCTTACCATGCTCGGCTCTGCCAGTGCGCCATCGAGTCACTACCGGTGTGTCTAAGTGACGAAGTTACCATCATCCATCATTCTTAAACACCATGATGGCCAATCGACTCAAGTGAACATACAGGAGGAAACGACCGTCTTCCTACCATTAGGCTGCAAGGGCAAACTAGCATTCTTTGAGTTCTATATATATCTGTGTACTTTGATCCCGACTCACTAGTGACTAGTGACTTGCAGCCAATTTCTCATTTTCAGTAGAGACGATATCACAACCAAGCGATACTTACGCTGATACCTGTGAAACATATTTTCACGTTCAGTTTTGATCGGGATTGGAGGGAACAGAACATCATGGAGTCGATCTCAATCCATCGACCGCAGATCCATTGGTGCTGCCCTGATGATCCAGATTGAGACTGTTTGGAGTTTGGAGGCGTACCGGAGGGCATGTCAACGCAGCCGTAGGTGAAATGCCTCGATTTGTCGAGCGGACTTGCTCATGCAAGGCTGACTCTTGTGGTGCAAGTACGTTTTTTTTTTTGTTGTTTTGCACCAAAAGTGCGTAACCACTTCGTACTGACGAATTAATTTCTGGCATAGATCGCACCTGAAATCCGCGCTGTCTTTATCGATGTTAGCTGGTGAGAACCATCTCCGCGCGTTGCTCCTTGCGCAAGTGGGTGTACAGTATTTGCATACGGCACCTGCGCATGCTATGGAGACGTTGGCCGTGTACGAGACGCTTGGCACTGGGTTGGGCTCGAAGCAGGAGGTGAGTTCACTACCAAGAGTGACAATGTTGGTGTACTCAGTTCCTATAGATAATCGTAGGTATTTTCAACTAATGATAGTGTTGTATGTCATACCAGAGAAGGAGCCAGAACCGTAAGCGACCATTACAGGCTCGGCAGTGTCGACGCTGGTGCTTGTTACCACGTACGGAGTGCTGGCGTCAGCCCATGTGTTTAAGCTATCGGTATCGACAATCAGGTCGTCTGTAATAATACATCAGCAGCCGCACGTTTTCTGAGTGTTGAACCTACAGGTTGTGGCGGGGCTACCAACGCTAACTGCTGCGATGTAGCCTACAGCATCATTTGTCACGGCAATGCTACCAGTACGATTGCTGAGTATTTTCGCCGACACTTTTGAGGGCGGCCGCGCGAGATTAATCGTGCTGCAAGAGGTTTATGGTACCACCAGATGTATTCAGCCTCCTGGTGATGGGGGAGTCGCAAATTTCAACAGGCGATGCCGCGATGGAAAAGGCCAAGAGAAGAGTCATCAACAGGGATCCAATGATTGAACGTACTGGAGGGTAATGATCCTTTGAGTTTATGTTGTATGCTTGCACGAAGGTTGGTTTGTGCTGTGCGTGTTCATATTTGTGAGAGTGAGTGTTGGGATTTGGGTATACGGTAGGATTACGTGCCAAGGTGGTTATCAACCTCGCACATCACAGGCAAAAGACAAACAAAGAAGCTCACGTGTCTCTCATAACCCTCTCCATGTCCACCTATGCCAAGAAACTACACCTGCACCCCATTACGCGCTAGTAGATGCAGCCATAGTACCCCTACAAGTGGTTTCGTTCCCACATGCGCGAACATAGCGAAGATTTCTTTGCGGCCTATGGGGTTGGTTGGTTAGTAAGTTGGGATTTATATTGGGAAGGGTGAGGCAGTGGAAGGATGAAGGGAATGGAGGAGAACGTACACGATAAACACCAAAACAACTCAGACCTCAGGCGCGTAAATGAAAACACTGTTGAGTCTGGAGTGTAGTATATCAGCGTTGTTGACTTTGTTGTCCGTCTATCACAAACCAAGAAGGACAGATCGGGAGGGAGTCAGAGAGATGAAAGAAATGGAGAGAAAATGCTAACATATCCTCACAACTTTCCCCACCCACACCACTCACAGCGCCAGAGTGAAAGAAGAGAACGGTGCATGAGAAGGTCCGTATAGGCAATTATCGTTACTCCAGCTGCGTCGTGTCATCACTGAGTACTAAACCAAGAGGGGCATATCAGTTCGTCCGAGTCGTAGCTAGCTAAGCTTATTTGGCACGCATCTTCCCACTTGAATATTTGGCTTACATAAACTAACCCGCAATGAGTAGTTTCAAGAAGGCAAAAATTATCTTAGAAATCGTGTCCAATGGTGAACTCGGAGTCGTAGTAGCGTGGTTAACTCTCTTCAGGCCTCCTCATCGGACTCTTCAAGACGTTCACCTCCGTGGTCCGATTCTACCACTGCACTTTCAACTCATTTGTTCTTGGAGGTGAAATCACAGCCGGTAAACGGCTCGCCTTGCGAAGACTAAGAACATTGGCAAGGATTGCACCATACGCACCAAGCTTTTGTAACGGTGACTGCATCACTCAACTCGATCTAAAACAGATCATTACTGGAGAATACAGTACTAGTAGTAGAGAAATCTGTGAGTCTCATTCCTTCGCAGCTGAACTCCTCAGCCACCCATCAACATTGAACAGATCACCTTCCTGTACTCTTCGCAATTCCTCCACAGCGACTCCGTAGATGGAGTGGAGGATTATGACATTCTCGACTAATACAGCCTTGACCCGTACATGCGAACGTCAACAGAGCAAGAAATAGTTCTGGCCCATCCGGATCAAGTACCATGCCCAACACCTTGGGACCTGTTGCCAGAACTACGCCAATAAATCTCCCGCTACTCTGACCAAACTTCTCTGAGCTCCACTTATGATAGTGTATGCGGCAGTGCTCTGATAGCACGCTGCACCACCGCAGAAGTACGAGTTATGCCTGAAGGCGAGGTATGGCAGGTGTACGCTTGACAATAAAACCTATCCGCCGCCTCCAATGGGTAGCACCGAGGTACAGTGTTTCGAATAGACTTTCATCTCTCGCAGGGACACGAGAGCGGAGTTTCCATGTGCTGAGCTGCTGTCGAACTAAGTCAAAATGCTTAACTACCATATCCATCGTAGGTCTTGCGCTGGGATCATTCTGAATCATGGCGTCTACCAGAGGTTTCAGAGACTCAAACCCTGTATTTTTCTACTGTAGAGATAAGCAATCAGCAGAAGGAATTTCATGCAATACTTACATCGATAAACTCTCTGACGACGCCACCGAGACGGTATATATGGGTAGGAAATGGGTTCAAAAGAACATCCGTATTGCCCTGAAATTCTGGCACCGTCTTATCACCTCCGAATATTGGATACTCGAGTGGGGTTTTTTCACTGGCATCGTACTGGCGCGATAAGCCAAAGTCAATGAAGTAATACATGGGAGGGCGCTGAGTGCGTGTGTAATGACTCGCGAAGCCCCTAAAGTCCCGCTTCATGTGGCGCTCAACAGGGTGATATGGTTCGGTATAGAGGTCTTTGGCAAACATCATAATGTTCAACAGCATACGGTCACTGTTCTTCAGTTCAATGACATCGCGTCATACGACAGCCAGCTTGCCTCCCAAGTAGACTTACTGGGCGGGGGAGATCCTTTCGCAGATGAAAATCAGATAGAAGATTGTAAGACCCAGATTACATCAGCTGGAACTTAGTGCTGATACTGAACACGATACAGCTACTGGTGCTGGAACTAACTAACTAACTAGCGATAATGGTGACGGAGCATCTCCGTCTAGGTCTCCATCCTTGGGGCAAGGATCTGGCAGTAACTATTACTTCTTTCATAATAGCTACGTTGCCTCGAGATCAGTCCTTCACACGCCAGCTCTAGACTATTGCGGATCATACAATCAGGGATCATGTGCGTGCTCTCAACTATACCCTGTTATGACTTCATCTCATATCACACAGCCTCAGCTCGACACTGACGCTATCGACTGTTGAACACGGCCCGGCTGGGTGTACTTTTCAAAATAAGTCATCATGGCAAAGACTCCAGGCTGCTTAGGATACTATAGTATATGACATATGTTCCCTAACATGCTTTAGCAGTTGTTCGTATGCTCAGTAGTCCCTGTTGATCCGCGCTCATTAAGTCTCAGAGTCTCTTTGAGAACATTCACAACCAGGTCTGTCGATCCTAGTTGCCTAGATCAAATCTAGATTGATCTAACTGAAAGATTGAAACTTCATGGCGTGATTGGCATTTAGAACTGTAGCAGATAGTAAATTGCAAGATTATAATTAGTGCGCGGAAGTGACCTCCGCGTGAAGGTCTGATTGATGGAACCGCAAGAACGCAAAGACGAAAAGACGAAAAGACGAAAAGAGAAACACTCGCCGAGCTTATTCACCTTCCTGCAATTATCCACAGACTCCCCAGGCGTCAACCCCGTATCCCTAGCCCCACTGAACGTACCAGCAGCCTCATCCAGCGCCCCACCGATCCTAACCCAATCGTCAACAAGCCACTCGCCAAACTCAAGATGAGGTCTTCGCCCGCGTGGGGAGTGACGATGGTGTTCGTGGCGCCACTGACAACTAGGCCGTGGTCTGCAGTGAGCATCAGCACCATCTCAATGAACTTGGTCGCCCAGGAGGGAAGATGGTGTTTGAACCAGAGGAGAGAGACGACTCCCCCAAGGCCAATATCTTCTCTGAACACATCCGAGATGCGCATGCCTGCATAGAGCTCCTGTCCACGCTCGTCAGAGATCGTACGGATAAACGCAGCCGGCTTCCTAATAAGCACCATATTCTTCGACGCCGCCGACTTCTCCGAGGAGGACGAGCATTTTGCATGCAGGGTCGGCTTCATAGTGGAGGAGGTTGACAAAGGTCGAGCCTGGGTAGCGGTCACCACCGATGGTGATGCCTTCTTAGGTGCCGTTTGTGATGAGGCTGAGGATGTTGTTAAGTTCATTGGACATGCCTCAATTAGGGCGGCTAAAGTTAACGCTCACCCCAATATCCTTCCGCGCGTGTGTATCACGTTGGTTTCTTTGTCTATGGGGAACAGCACAAACTTGTTGCGTGGCTCCATACAGACAAAGAAAATGACATGCGTCCCCAACTCCCACGGTTAGTGGGAGGGCTTTTCGAACACAAATGTCCCTCTACATTTATCTGGAGTCTGCACCCAACTGTACAGATCATCTGGCAACTCCCGAGTGACTAAACCCTCTTGACTATGGAAATAGGCGACAAAGTGGACTGACTTGTGGAACCAGCCGGACCGTCTTCAGTGTGAGAGTCACGTGGTATCCTCAGGTGCTCCTGGGACAATCCAAACACGACAGGCTTTCATATACATACTCCACCCAGGTCCCAGATGCTGATCGAGCGATCGATCGACTGGCAGCAGCGCCACCTTTTAAAAGCGTCTCGACTTCAACGACGCGCGTGGTCAGCCTCTTTTTCGCTATAATGTGCTGGCTGTCGTTACTGACATACTCGCCGGCCTGGGAGAGGTACGACAGCGTGGTAAGGTGATAAACGGATTTGAATCAATAATGTGAGACCTATAGGGACCTTGGGCGGCTGACGCGCTGCGGCACTGGCGCAGGTCCGAAACCATACTAGGCATAACGTTTGTATTCCCGTTCCCAGCGAGCTCACGCTGGTCATCATGGACATATATGAGTTTGCCTTCGCGTCGCGCGAGGTCCGATATATGCTCTCGTCAATGGAACACAACGACGGAAAGTTACTTTGCGCGCGTAGGATATGGAAGCAGCTGTAAGTTGAGGTAAGTATTGTTTTGTGTTCTTACACTACCATAATGTGAATTGACTGCGGTAGAGACATCATTAACGTGTTTCACAGCAACAAGTTCATGGTGGCACAGACACCAGATTACCGCCGGCCTTCTGGAAGTGCTCTATATACGCCTCCGATCTTATCCACTGCAACAGCTGCCAGGTTGCATCACGTAGAACATGCGTCATCATGGGAGAGTTGCGCAGAAGGTGTGTGAAGGCGTAGGATTTGTTCATGGGAGTGGAGGTAAATATCTAAGTCAGGCTCAGACTGAGGGGCCTGAGCTGAACGCCGCGCGGGATCAGGTCAGTGCGTTCGCTAAAATGCTTTCTATGAACGGGGGAACTGATGAGATTCATCCAGGGTTCCGACTGTATGTTGCCCATAGTATAGTGATTCAAGCTCGTGATGTATACCACAAATTCGCCTTCAATGTCTCATAATCTCTGACCAGCTGCTCTGTGTTCTTGTCACACGTCAGGACTTTATGTAGGGCTTTGAAGCGCGTCCACTGCTTTGATGGTAGGCTGGAGCGTGTTGTGGTATGTGTGATTGTGATTTCTGAAAGAAAGGTGTTTTATAGTAGGTGGTAGGTCGGGTGCTGGCGGAAAATGTGTGGGCACATGGTAAATTATCAGCTCTTCGAGCGCGGTGCATATACGGAGCAGAGCAGCAGAATAGTTTTCGTAGTGAGCGAGGAGGGAGCGAAATCGCGGGGCGTGGAGAGAAAGAATAGTTCGCCGACAGCAACGGCAGGCGTCAGGCATCCAGCAGATCGAGCAGCCGTCCCTGTCATGGTCGATGGTATGCTGATGCAGAATAGGTAAATGCGGCCAGGACAATTTCCATGGTCAGTGCGATCAAGTAACCAAATTTATTGCGGAGACAAGGAGCCGCTAACTTCTGGTCAAGGAAATTACAATGTATTGGCAATATTAATTACGTTAACATCACCTTAGGCGAACCAGCATCGGCATCACTGCGGCCGGTCCGGTATTAAAAACCCAGATCAATACCTGAAGCTTTGAAGCCTTGAAGGCTGACAATACCAAATCTGTCAAGTACGTCCTGGTCTAATAATGTCTTACCGGGTGTTGGTGGTGTTAGATCCTCAGTTCTCCCGTGCTTTGGTGCGGGATTCTTATGGATGTATCGACTGGGTTACCCATGACTATCCTGCTCTCTTGGCTGCCGACCTCCTGGACAGTCCGACCCTTTGCGGCTTTGTCTTTCCTGGAGAATCCGGCCACCTTGTTGCACAGCGACCGGGCTTTGTGCCAGTGCGGCTTCATGAAAAGGTTTGGATGTCGAAAACTGCCGCCGATTCCGGACTGATCCCTGTAACCCATAAGTTATTATTTTGGCTTAGAATTCGGCACAAAGGAATGACTGTAGAGTTCATGAAGTTTGAAAATTTTCGGAATATACTGATCTCACCAAACTCCGACTTCAAACAAACATTTCAACAATATCACTCGGTCTGTGGCGGCCTAGATCTTATGGTGGACCCAAGGCAGGTGATCAGTGTCTGGTTACCTTATTCAAACCGTTGACAATCAGGATAAGTGAGCGGGCTGGCGGTTGGGGCAGCTCGGCCCAGCTGCAGCAATACCTATACGGCCTACAGACGCTGGAGTCCATTGTACCGGTATGGCCCCCGTCCAGAGAGATCCTACGCGCCTCCATAAAATTCAATGTAATCGTTAACCTTGACCACATTGCATCCAGAATGAACTCTCCTAGACCCCGGACCACACTCCTTTCTCGCAACGATGTCTCACAATCCTTTGAAGGCTGGATTCTGAAGCGTGAAGGCAGCGATTGCAACCGTCATGTTTTATTACCAGGAAAAGTGAATCCATTGAATCTGCCCCGGGACTGTGGTCATTTCAGGTGGTTAAAGCAGTCATATGTACCCACCCTTCGGAAGCTGGGAGAGTGGCGAATTATCTTGGTAGATTGTCTACCATTGTGGGTGGTGCACACAGCTCCTGGAAATAGGCGAGAGGAGTTGGTCTTTTTGCATCGGGATGCAGGTCTGTCTCTGGCAGAAATGACGTGAGTTCTTCAACTGACCCTCCGTCACAATCCGATTAGTCTTAACCTGTAGGCCGACCCAGCCTGCGTATTAGGGAACCTTACGTCTTTGATGATATCATGGATCCTGTAGGGGGCACGTGCTCCGAACGCCGCCAAGCCGATCAAGAACTGGAGTCCTTTGCGACAACCGTATTGAGTCAGCTCATAGAAGTTGAGGAAGATTTGCTGGGTGCACCCAGCTCCTTGAGGCTGATGGTCCGACTGGATATTGGTGTCATGCATGGTCCTGATGGACAATTAGGCTATTTTATCAACGAGGTGGAACGCGGAGTGGGTATTGGTCTATTTACCGCCGGGAATCCAAGGTGGACCTTGCGGCTGGCTGATGAATTTGGGTGCTCATTCTCCAAGTGGATGACCAAAACCTGCCTGGCTATGGAACGCTTAATAGAACCTGTGACATAGTTCCGACAGGATCACTTCACATTTTTAGTCTCTGGCATGCAGTCTCATAATTCATGGCCGTGCACAAACATTATCACCCAGTTCATCTGTACCCATCATATTTATACTTAATTCCTTAGGCTTGACTCGCCAGTTGTGTGGTCTTGGTGACTTATCAAAACGTGTCACTGCGCAAGGCAATGCAGCTCCTGCACTCGGAGCAGGAGATTGCTGGTCACACCACAGGAATATCCCTACATGC